CAACATGACAACTTCAGGAGGCGAGACGTTTTGCCATTCTGAATGCACTATATAATGCCAGTTCTTCTGTTTGGGTCCACAGCTAAAGTGAGATGGCTATCATGGACCTTTGCATCGTTGTAGCAAGTCCAATGATCAGAAGTAGATTTATCCTAAACCTTATCATTCTTCATGATAATAATCTCAAGTTTTGGGTCTCGTTTGAAAACCATTACAACTTTTGTATGTGGTCCTGTGTGCTAACTTCTTAATCAGAATTCTTCATGATAACCACCTCTCCTCAGCACTCGACTCTTCTTCGAGATCGTAAGTTCTTAAACTTGTGAAAAAATCCATTTTCGTCAGGTTCAAAATATTGACTCAATCACTTGAGATCAGAAGAGCACAGACACATGCTCATTCAAGCAAAACAATCCTATGCAATAACAGTATCCACAGTCAAGGCACCATATATTTTTCTTCCTACCTGCTATCTGTCACAAAGTAGTTTTGAATTCCCTGAATAACTGAATTCGTGAAAATGAAATTAAGAGACTGGACACAAATTAACAACTTTTGTTTAATAACACAAACACAATATGTGTACTTGCTTATTTGGCGATGGACAGTCACTTTTACTGGGTCAGAATTTTTTTTATCAAATTGACTTGCCCAAGATCAGCTACTAGAATGTTTATACCTTATAGTACTTACTTCAAAAGTAACGTCAGACTTATGCAGAGCAACTAATACTGCCACTATTACAGGTCATTATAATTCAAACTTAAGCATAAAAAAACACAAAAAACAGCAACTCTGCTATAAGATAGTCAATTGTCACAGCACCACACTTTTCCCTATTCACACTATGGTATTTTCAGGTGAAACTGATTTTTCTTATAGTGATAGGATAGGTCCTCTGAATAGCAGGAGTTTTTGCCAAGGTGTTGTTACGTCAGTGGAACTCGCGTGATGCTGGGAGCATGCACGCTGGAGTTTCTCGAAGGACCATGAATTATCGGGGAGGCCCAAATTTGTTCGAGGTGCCCTCTTTTTTTTAGTATACTATACAAGCCTGGCGAGAAAAACCAGCAGGATTGAAGAGATAGGTAATTGAGTCAAGCGAACAGTAGGCACCGTAAGTAAGTGTGTGAATCACTGTGATTTATAGCATGTGTTATAAAAGGTTCTTAAGTTTAAAGTGACTGTGGAAATTCTGTGTATTACTAAAAGTGTGTATCAAGAAAGAATAAATTGGTTGAATCAAGAAAGGACTTGTATCGCCGAAGTTCCTTGGAAAGAATTATACCAGAAATTAACAAACAAGAAGATACACAACATAAAGCTTATCTGAAAGTAGTGAAAATAAGCTTTCAAACGGTCTGTGTTGTGGGAATATGTGAGGGTGCTCACCTACGGTTTTGCCTAAATTTAATTGAATAAATAGCATAAATTGCTATTATAATTGAGCTCTGCAGACGAAAATGAACCTTGTGTTACGTCTCCGTTTGTTAATTGATTTTCCTTAACTTCGTTCCGACGAAACTTTAGTGACACAAGTCCTTACTTAATAAAACTAGTTTATTCTTTCCGAATATAACTTTACGATACACTTATTTTCAACAATCGCTCTTTTACAAACGTTTTAACAACGAACGTTAACTTCAACAATACCCTGTGACTGCAGTTCAATTACTCACTATCTACACACACATTATTCCCGTCACGTTGTCACTCTCTTTTATATACCAGACTACTCTATATCTAGTAAATGCTAGAGCATTCGCCAAAGTACAGGATAGTTCTAGAAAGTAGAGGGCGTGAGAATAGTCACGTGATATCGATGACGTAACACTTGTTTCTTCAAGTTGTCCACCAAGTATGTTTGTTTTCTTTTTTTTTAATTTAGTTTTAAACACTTTTTTTGTTGTTGTTGTAGAGGTTATGTGGTATTATGGAAGCAACTAAAATTGGCTTCACAGGCAACAGAAATAATTTAATAAGTTTCATTTGAAAAACACTAGCAAATTGTAGAAGAAAAAAAAAGGAAAGGAAAGCATGCATTCGTATCCTTCGTTTTAAACAATAAACTTACTGGAGTTCTGATATTGAGGTTCACTGATAACCGATAGATAAGTTTAAAAGTATTGTTTCCATTGGTTCAACAGTAAGTCTGCAGGCTTACGACACCAAAATCCGGGTTTCGATATTTGTAGTGGGAAGAGCATATATAGCTTTGTGCTTAATAATTATCAAAACAAAATAAAAGTATCCCCATATCAGAGATTCCAGAAATATTACGCAGACAATAAAGCGAACAAGGACATGAAAGAAAGAAAGAAAGAAAACAGTAGTGAACAAAAATACTATTTCGAAAGAGTTGTTTATTTTACTTACTGGTCGTCTTTCAACTTTCATATGACTTGTTCGGTTTATGGCCCGCTGGAGTTGAATACGGAATAAGAAACTAGGGTTAGTTATGATGTCCTGACTATACTTTTTTCTACAAGGTTAAGCCTAAATTGAAACTAATATGGCACCAGTTACCAACTCACGACCGTGAGAGTAAAAATTGACAAAATTAGGAAAAACCGTATTTTTTTTAGGGTTAGTATTCTTGTAAATTTTATGAATTGACTGGTTTTAATACATTTTAAATAGTTAATATCAAAATTATACTCTGGCTGATGAAACTCTAGCGCTAGGCATCGAAAGTGTCATTAGCTTACTCATTTTTAATCTCTGAGTCTGAGTAATGATGAAGCAACCCCAATCATGAGATGATAATTTTAGGACTGCTAGTACTAGTCCTAGTACTGATAGGATTAATGATCAGGCGTTTTGTCGCTTTAAGCGTGACTTGGTTTACGTAACTGTTTGATCCTGTGTGTATATGTGTTTTTTAATCATGAATAATGATTTTATTAAAAATACAATTGTAACCGTTCAGGGTTGCTATAATTTTATTTTTAGACTATTTGTTTTTAGTTTTACATTAGTTTAGAATACATTATACAGTGAGAACTATCACGACACAATGAGAATGTTGAATTAATAATACTTCCCATTACTATAGTAGTAATAGTAATTTAGTGTTGTTATAAAATATTCTGTTGTTGGGTGGGTTTTTTAATTTTAGATTTTTTGGTAAAAATAATGAGAGATTCAGTCAGCATAACACTAACAGTAACAAATTAGTTTATTAATGTCACAAGTGGGGAACCTCAGTGTTCAGTCTTTGACATAGATGAAGGAATAGTCAATAAATTTCTTAAATTTGCAGATGATATTAAGGTCTTGCTAACTGTGAAGAGGATGCTGTTGATTTACAAAAGGATTTAGATCATTTAGTGATTTGGGCAAATAAATGGCAGATGGGGTTTTAATTATAACAAATGTAAGATA